CAGAATATTTACTGATATGTTAGGGTTACGGATTTCAGACTGCTAAGATTCTAGGGACATATGGACAGGCATATATAATGTACTTACTGTACTGTACTGTACCATACTGTACATAAATAATAAAGGTAAATATGATTTTATATGAACACATTACATTATGTGAACACAACCTACATCAATATGCTAAAGACCGTTATTTCGTAATTTCGATTGTACAATTGCAATCTATGTCTTAAAGGGACACTACGATTTTCAATGAAACATAGGAACTGATCATTTTATTTTCGTGTTCAGGAGAACCAGCCTCCACCAATAGCACCGGCACTAACACGACCCCATCCATAGCCCCTCAAATCACCATTACTTCCCATACATAAACTTTGTCAACAATACGCTGCCCCATACACTGTCCGGATTTGCAGTTTGTCCAGTTCATACATGAAATAGGCAAATAATAGACATCGTCAGTCAGTTTTAAAATACGCTCAACCAATTTCATATTACATGTGTTTAGATTTTCATAAGAATCCAACGCACCTAGCTGTCTCCATTTCCTATATTTAACTTGCCTTAATCATACTGTTTGTCAAGTATACAAGTAATGCCATTTTAATCAGGTGTGCTTATACTGCCACTGCATATAAAATTACCTTTGCAACTTCAGATACATGATGTTTATTAAGTTTAAAACGGATTAAATATTTACTTTGTCAGCAAATCAGACACAGTTTGAGTATATTCGAGATATTGTATATGCACATTTCAGGTTGGAGTAGAGCTTATGACGAGCTATTGAAGTTGGAGGACATTGTCGAAACGATTCTACCAGCTAGATTACCCCTGCGCCAACTCCAGATCCAAATAAAGGAACATTTGGTTAATACCAATTCAGACAGTCGAGTGACACTTCATGTCCCCATGACAGAGCAAGACTTTGAGGAGATAAGATCTGCTGGGGAAGTTCACAAGATAAGGAAGGATCGGACCATATACGCAATACGGTCAAGGCAGAATCTTGAATCTCTACTCGGAGTGGGGTGGGACTACAGAATTCTCAATGAATCAGGCGACTGTTTCTATGTGAAGACACAGACTGTCAAGTACTGGTTAAGTAAGAGAAGACCACTTCTAGACTTCACCTTGTTTCCTGATTACGTTGGAGAAAGCTATCTAGATCGAGGCCACCAGGTTTCGTTTTCGTTCGTCAGAGCCCCAGGAAACCCCTCTCTCACAGACTCTCACAGTCTTCTTAATGCATCATGTTTATAACTTTATGATGAAGATCGTGACATTTATATCGTTAGCTGTCGCTATGGTCCTTATTTCCAAACAAACGTTGTTCTCCATACTGCATGAAAAGCATTGGGACAAAGCATTAAGTACAAAAACAATTAAAGACTACATAACTGATTTGGAGGATGCTTTAGGTATATCCTTCAGCACCCGCAGAAGCGACGAGGAAAGGCTTAGATCGGAGCTTTTCAGACTCAGAAGCAGAGGATCTAAATGTAAGGCAAAGGGTGGGAGGCAGTTCAAGGCGTTTATTGACGGACTTGCAACATCTAAGTTTACTTGGGAACTTTGTGTTCACGGAGACACGTGTGGACAACAAAATCAACGCCTTAAATGTCAATTAGCGGAAGTGAAACAGAAGAATAAAGACCTTGAAGAAAGGTTGAGATTACTGACCGATTCCAGAAGTGTGGAAAATTGCAAGGATTTCGCCAACCATACACATGAAAAGATACCATGTGCAAAAGGCAATACCCGTAAAAGGAAACCATTTGCTGATTGTTCAAACACTGGAAAATGTAAACGAAGGAGAGATGTACAAGAGCGATGTAAGGACGCTTTATCGTTCCTTGAGGATGATAACACAAAACTGTTTTCTGTCATAACAGAAAGGGAAGGCAAAAGAGAAGTGATCAAGTTTCATGGTGATAATGAAACAGAGAATGACAATTTACTAAAGCTTCTGTATATACTTGATATTTTTAACATTAGCCATGAAGCATATCACGAACTGACAATGCTGTATAAATCACTTCCTCGTTCATACTCAGTTAGACGTGTATATTCCAGATTGAATGAGGATTTCAATATAAAGGACATTCCTGGTGGGCTAGGCGTCCAACAGTCCCTTCATGAGAGACTTAACCAGGTTGTTCCTGCTTTAATAAATGAGAAACCCGAGGAATTTAAAGATACAAGAACCCTTCAAGTAAAGATTGCTGCCGATGGAACTCGTATTGGCAAACGAATACAGGTTGTAAATGTAACATTTACAATTTTGAATGAAAAGAGGTGTGGTTCAGCACAGGGGAACTACACCCTTGCAATCATTTACACAAAGGAGAAATATAATGAACTCAGCATTGCACTGCAAACGCTGAGAGAAGAAATAAAACATCTGCAGGGTGCAAAGATGATATTTGCAGGAACTGAATTTGATATTGAACTATACCTGGGAGGTGATTATAAGTTTTTATTGCTTGCTATAGGAATAAGTTCAGTGCGAGTACAGCACAACTGTATTTACTGTAAATATTCCAGAGCAGAAAGGCAGCAGGTAAACAGGGTGTGGTCGATGACAGATCAAGCCCATGGAGCGAGGCAAACGTATGAAACGCCAGCAAAGAAATGAAAATCAAAGGCCTTTTCAATTTCAAATCAGCCTTTATTTCCAAGTATCCCCCTTCGGATTGTCGTCATAGATAACCTACACCTCTTCTTGAGGATTAGTGATAAACTGTTCAACTTACTGGTGGCTGAACTTCGGCTACTGGACAACATTTGTGATCAGACAAAGTTGAGAGGTCATCTATCTACAGACATGGTAAACCACATAGCTAAACTCGAAAAGCAGCTGAAAGATGCTGGAATAAAATTCGAGCTAAACGTCAGCAGTGAGACAAACAAACTCGAATATCGAGACTTACAAGGACCTGAAAAACTGAGGTTTTTCGAACACTTTAAGGCTGCTGAGTTATTCGACGATCAACAAAGAGCGTCAACTGTTCAGTCCATATGGGATGGATTCTCGTCACTTAATGACTTGTTACAAAGTGTAACACCTGATGTAAAAGATTTAACAGATAAGGTTAAATCATGGTATTCAATATACGTCGATGCTTATCAGAGTTGTGACATAACGCCATACATCCATATCCTCCGTCACCACGTACCTGAGCTCATTCAAATTCATGGGAATATTGTGAAGTTTACACAACAAGGATTAGAAAAGCAAAATGACATCCTCACAAAGCAGTATTTCAGAGCTAGTAATCATGGGAAGAGTGCCCTGAAACAAGTGCTTCAGAAACAGAACCGTATCACGCTGCTTGAGAAATACAAACGTCCCAAGGAAAAGGTCGTCACGTGTGGACATTGTCACACAAAAGGACACAGGAGAAACAAATGTTCTACAGAACGAGATCTGAACCAGTCTGAACTGCAGTGATACCAATAACTGAAACAAAATCTGTAGACCGAGAACGATGTACTGTTTAAAACAGGAGACGTGTAGGAGACTGTTCATTGTTTTTATTTGGTTAAATCTTTTCACCTAAACCTCTAGTCACTCAAATACGAAGACTCCAGGGGGCTTGTTTCCTTACTTTAGTAGTCACATAAAGTGTTATGTGATGTGTGCTTTGTTTGAAAGGGTAGGACTAATGTACCGACTATAACAATTTATTTGTAGTTGAAAAGTGGAAGTTTATGTATTACTTTCTCTACTGAGGGTTTTTATCGGATCATCGGGAAAGTTGGAACACCTCTATCCTATCATAAATGATAGATAATTGGACCATGTTTACAAAGAGTGGTAGTTTCATCTGTGTCTAATTTCATGATAAAGGAAGTCATCCAAACAGAATATTATTTCACATGTCAGTGACATGATCATCGAGTCATGGATCTTTTCTTAGTTGTCAATATGATGGCAGTCGTTGTGTTTTGAAAACAACCATGCATTTATTTGTTTAATTCTGTGAATACAACGTGAAGATTTTTGTTTTGTTTGCTTTTATTTATCACGAGGATGACTAAAGACTCCCGACAGTAATGTAAATACATTACATTAGGTTACTGTGGGTACATGGGACTTACCAATATCTATCTATAACGATAACCATCCATTTGCATTGCACTGGAGTCCCTGCCCTAAAGCCAACTTCTCGAAATCCCCGGGGGTTACGGATCACTGAGCAACTAGTGGAAATCCCTGAGAAGTATACAACCAAAGCTGCCTGCTGAGGGAGTACTGGCACTTCCTACAGTACTTTAGGTACCCACTTGTACTGTAGATGACATAGCCTCTTTGGCTCAAGGTGGCTCAATGTGGTTCAATATGGAAGAGTTTAAATAGTCCTAAATACTTGAGAATATCTTTACGTAAGTAGTCCATTAAATATAATGCTACTGCTTTTTGCTTATTTACTTACAACAGAACAAGCACAATATCCGTTTGGCCTACACAGCCTACACATTTATATACAAAAATTACAATGTGTGTAGGGATTCGTGTAGGGCTACGAATTGTGGTAACACCGGTTTTCAGACCTTAACGCTTTGTATAAAAAAAGACGGCAATTACTCGTCACCAAAACATTCAGGATGTGTATTTTCCGACTGTCAAAACCCTTTTCTATCTACAACCGCTTGCAATAAACTGTATGTGCATTGATATAGCCAAAAAAATCAGTTGTGTAATGACTGATAGTCAATAAAACTTAAGGCTTAAGGCAACATGTTGCTTACAAGTAAATCTATTATAACAAAATAGACGGTGGCACGGTTATGTTAAAATATGCCGTGTACACTTTGTTTTCACCAAATGACATCATTTATTAATATATTTCATGCAATGTATCCTAGTCCTATAAAAACAGGTGTTAAATTGATTATTTCTTCCAAATGTTGGTATAATTTCAGATTTCCCCACGTCATTTCACAAAAGGGAGATAACTCGCGCACAAAGCCGTTTTACATTCATGATTTCACGATATGATATACAAAATGGTCTTCTCCAAAACATAAACTGGTTTAAGCATCGGGTCACGTTCCACTTGAATACCTTTTAATAAATTTAAATGGTTACTATCTGGGATATTTAGAAAGTGTTGTTGTTTATAGACTGTTGTTGATTCCACATGTTGTCTGGAACTGCCCCCGTTCACAAATGGTGACTTGGTGTACTTTAGCCTGGCGTCGGCTGTGCCTGGAGGCCTGACGTCAACGCCCCTAGAGATACGTCCGCCTTGTGTGGGTGGTCGAAATGAGGACTGTTTGAAAACTTCATTTGTAGGAGGCTTGATCAGTACATCTGAAGTGCAGAAAATGAGTTATTTTATTTATTAATTAATAAGTACTTGGGCAAGTACTTCAGCTTGAACGTTTAAGAATCTACACAAAGCATCACAAGTGCAATACACATGCAGTTATTATCCAAACTATATTTTCTTATGAGTACTAAAAGTAGTTGCCAGGTGAATAGTGTTCAAAATGTCCCTCGTATAGATTTTTTGTTTGTCTTGGATCACTAGCCGATGCACATGTATGTACAAGAAACAGCCAGAGACATATATTTAGAACGATGATAAATGCATTCCTCTACATGGGACGGCGGGTAGTGGTTAAAGCGTCCGGACATCACATACATAGAAGACCAGGATGGTTCCCTCGTACACGTATAATACATGTGGAACCCATTTCTGGTGTCCCCACAGTGACAATGCTGGGACATTTGCAAAACCATAAAACGGTACTGACACACTTCCATTTTACATATAACCAACCAGCCCCTGTTGTGACCAGACCCGTGAAGAAGATTCGGGTTAAATTGGTCTTCAGTAACCCATGCTTGTCATAAGAGGCGACTAACGGATCGGGTGGTCGGACTCACAGACTTGGTTGACATTACGTCATCGGACCCCAGTTTCATAGATCGATGCCTCATGCTGTTGATCATTGGATTGTCTCTTCCAAACACGATTATTTATAGACCGCCGCCATATACCTGGAATATTGCTGAGTGCGACGTTCAACAACAACTTGTGACCAAAACCATAGGGCTGCGCAATATAACCGGTTTACCGGTATTTACAGGTTCAGACATGAAACGATACGCATTGCGATACGCTGATCGAAAACCGGTATTTTGACATGCATTCGGAAAACCTCGTAACACTCGGAAATCTTCGGATATTTCCGTTTTTTTTTAATTGTTCTTTTCCCTGTTTCATTAGTGCCAAATGTTACTTACATTTTTTATTTTGTCATGATTAAAAGTTTTATTAAAGGTTAATCAATCATAGTGGATTTTGTTGTATTTTTGCTTTATAATCAAGCATTAACTCGATTATAAATAGTTTTGTTTAAAATAATTCTTGCAATATATTGCAATACATAACGCAATATATGCTTCCGCATCGCAATATATCGCAATATGATAATTCTCTGCAATACCCACCCCCTACAAAAACAGGTGTCTCCTTCCCGATGGCATCAGTGATTACCTTCGTCTTCGATGACGGCCTTGGGAGAGGCTGGTTTCATGGGTATGTGCGGAGGGGACGGTGCTGGTACCGGCATGGCAGGCTCGGCCTGGGGTGGGGGGACGGCAGGAATTCCAGGCATTGTCTCTACGGGATCCATGGTAACCGCCATCGGCATCGTCGGTCCTCTCGGGATCACAGGCTCGTCCACCAACGTCAACCTGCGCAGAAATAGTTGAAACAAGTATGACTACCCGTGTTTGGTTCTAAGGTTATTGATGAAATTATGCAACGCTATCAGAATCTAAACTCGCGTTCAAGGTTTTGTATAGTTGTCCTCGCCAACCCGTGGTCAGGTCCTCTGTGGTAACACATTTTGCTCTCCCAGAGTTACGCTTCTGACTATATTTAGCATCCATGATGTAAGTAAAACCCTGTCTCAAAATTCCATCAAGCCACAATGATATTTGGTTACACATGTATCCCGCACCTGTCTATCATGCTGTCATCCTTGCAGTCTCCGGATGATCTGCTTGTCGTTGATAGGTGGCAGCACCGGCCTGTCGGTGACAGCTTGGGCGGGAGGCTGGTGACTATACTCCTCCCTGCCCGCCATGACGGTCCTGATCATGTCCATCACCATCGTCTTCTCTGGAGAGAAAACGGGATACATTACCAAAGAAATCTCGAAACTGGATTTTAAATACAAACAAAATTGTAATAGACTAGAACATACCCCTTCTCTAGGGACCCGTGAAGATCGGGTTAGGATTGATATTCAGTAACCCATGCTTGTCGTAAGAGGCGACTCAAGGGATCGGGTCGTCAGGCTCGCTGACACATGTCATCGTATCCCAGTAGATCGATGCTCATGCTGTTGATGACTGGACTGTCTGGTCAAGACTCGATTATATGCAGACCGCCGCCACATATGTGGAATATTGCTAAGAGCGGCGACAAACTAAACTCACACACCCTTCTCTATGGTGATGGACGAGTCTGGATCAGACAAACCATTGATTGGTGTTTTGTGGTGACATGCCAGCAGGTCATCAAGCCGTGATACATATTTTCTGCTGTACAGATGAGGATGTATAACAAAAGTACTCCTGCACACCAGATGGGGATGTAGAACAGTGCTGCTGTTCAGGTGAAGACTTAAAGCAGTGTAAAGGTTCACAGGTGAGGATGTCACTCAATAATACGGTAAAAACCCATACACTAGGGCCTACAATACAAGAGCACTCTTTAACTCTCAGTATATATCTAACCTCTGTCTCCCGCCGACACCAGCCACGACTGCACGGCATTGACATCCTCTGTCTGTAGGATCTGGCACAACATCGTCAACACCTGTAGGGGGAAGACAACAAACACTTAACAAAGGATAATAGAAAATCCATCGATATAACGATCTCATATTATCTAACCAAGCTTAGATTTTCATGAAACGTAAAACTGTGGCAAATAATGTGTTACCATTGTGAAATCATCAATGAAGTTGTAATTATGGAAAGGTTTAATCACACAGCCTGTCGTCTCGTGCGGATTCCATAACGAACAGGCTGGTCGCAATTAAGACATTCATATCATTTCTTATACGATTAAGCAGATCAGAATCTCACGAAAGTAATCGTGAAACAATTTATATTTTTAAGGTAACCCACTGATCAGGGTAATGGAAATAGCGGGGATTTCCTAAAGATTAACGACTCCCCTGGTGATTTTAAGCCCCTCGGACTCCCCAACCTGTTTATCTTATTTCCTTCACGGAAAGCTGGGTTTCGTGCTTGTCGAGATTGGTCCCTAGTATTGGTTGTGTTAGACGGCACAGATAACGTACATGCCAGCCTTAGGTGATGACAAAACATGCGACTTCCTGGAGAATATCGATGAAGTTGAAGAAAAGGTACATTAACATCGGAAATTGTAGCCATTTATTAATAAACCCAACTAGGCGTTATGTTTATGCCAGGACCACCAGTGTTATTCCTAGAAATTAGCGTTGTTATGGTTGACCCTATACACTGACCGGAAATGGAATCGTGAATTGAAGAGGAATCGTCATATTTCGGGAGATAATGGACTGAATATTCTCAGTCGTTGACGTTTCTTAATATCACACATTTCATTCAGGTAAACACAAATTTGCCATGAAAGTTAAGTTAGAACTGTTATCAACGTATTATTACAACGTTTTATTCATACTCGATGACTTAGCTTAAATGTTTGCAGTAGAAGTAGATTGGTCAAAACAAAGCTTTTTAATGCATACATGCATATTTTCGTCTCTGTCGCTTTTGGAAACCCTATGGCTGCAGGTCGATTGTAAAATTATTCTTTTAGTTTGAATTATTTGACATATTTTGTGTCATTATTTGTTTTGTTTGTTGTTGTTGGGTTTGATGTGGTTATTCCAGCTGAAGACCCATGTTCGATTTTCAACGTGTACAATGTGGACCCCATTTCTGGTTTCCCCACCGTAATTTTGGTGATACATGTATATTCCCAGAAGCGGCGTAAAACCGTACTCACTCACTCCCACTCAACTTCAGATAGAGGGAATTATTCCTAGTGTCGAGATCCTGACTGAATGGTTGTGGAGATGTTATCACGTAAATGACAGACCCGCTTAGTTGAATTGCTCTTCAACCCATACTTGCCGTAAATGACGACTAACGGGATCGGATGATGAGACTCGTTGACTCGGTTGACACATGTCATCGTATCAATTACGTGCATCGATGCTCATGATGTTGATCACTGGATTAATCTGGTCCAGACTGATTATTTACAAGACCGCCGCCATATAGCTGGAATGTTGTTAAGGCGTTAAACAACAAAACCAATCAACCAACGTAAAGTAGCTTAAAATGGCCATGGAGCTGTTCAGTTTCATTTAAAAAGGGGCGGTGGGGGTAGCCTTAGTGGTTAAAGCGTTGGCCTCGTCACGCCGAAGACCCGGGTTCGATTCCCCTACTACATGGGCACAATGTGTTAAGCCCATTTCTGGTGCCCCCCTGCCGTGATATTGCTGGAATATTGCTAAAAAGCGGCGTAAAACTAATCTCAGTCCAGTCAGTCAGTCATTTCAAAAAACAAAAATACGGAAGGGTCCCTCTGAATTTCTTTCTAGCTTTGTAGGGTCGTATAAATTACTCCAGGATCCCTATCAAAGATTGAGTGGTATATAATACGCGTGTTTTCTTCACTTTCACAGAATATAGTACATAATGTCGGTTATTTCGCTGATACGAATCGATATACAGCCGGCGTTATTTATGTGTCGTTGTGACATACTACTTATCTTAATGTAGATATTCGGCCTTAACCTAATCGATCAGTGTTTGGAAGGTATAACTTGGTCCGAATAGCCAAAGACTTGTTAAAAGAAACATGTGTCCTGTATGATGTCCAATACCCCGGTAATTGAGAGTCGACTATATCTTCCACCGGGACATCACTGTTTAACGCTGCCGTGTGTCATAAGTGCTCACGTCGCCGCGATGACTCCTCTACAAAGACCAGCTAAAAGTACACAGAGCGAGGCCTATGTCAGAGACTTAGGGCTGCCAAGAAAAATGCATCAATCCACAATCATCGAAGGGGTTGGGAAGCCAGTTCCACCAAGTTCAATGTCTAATTAGAATCTTATATTCTGAAGTTCTCAAATACTCCATCTAAAGTCAACAAAACCAATTGTCAAAATGTTTGATATTAAAACAAATCGAAATCGAAATAATAGCTAGGCTTCTTCACGAACAGGGTAAGTTTTGAATTTTTACGGTTTGCTTGTGTTTTATTTGGATTCCAATACCCATGGTAGTGATAAAGAGATTACGTTGAAGAGGTCGGAGGTATTGACTGTTGGCAGTAAAATATACAACATATTTAATATATGACGAAGATGAAAGCCCAGAAGTCATCTACAGAGGCGAGCGCGGTTTCTTCTGCAAGGGGTACATCCCATAGACATGCCCGAAAATGATCGTAAGTTCGAATCCCGGGCTGTCCTGGTTGTTTTGTCTAAGTTGCTTCAGCGCCTAAGTATATCCGTGCGGACTACAAATAAATATATCATCCAAAGCCCGCGCAAGTCTAGAAAATGTGGCAGGTCTAGATCTCAGCTTCTGAAAATGAAGAATCTCAGGGCTCCTTTTCATTTATATAATGTTTTTTTTTATATGAACTTTTCCAGTAAAATATGTTCATTTCAGAGACTAGTTATTAGTCTAGCCAACGCCATGCCGATGTTCTAGAAGGCTATAGGCCTGCGGTAGTAAGCGGACACACCGTCATATAACTGGAATGCTGTTCAAAGCGGCATTATACTGACTGACTGAGGTTTGATTTTACGCCGCTTTTAATAATATTCCAGCAACATTATCACGGCGGGGACGCCAAAGAAATGGGGCTTCGCACTTTTTACCCGTAATGAGGATTGGACCGGGTCTTCAGGCAATGACGAGCAACGCTTTAATATAGAGCTACTTCCGCACGCCCCTCAAAGCGGCATTAAGTCCAGCACACTCACACGCATGTAAGCGTGAAAAGAACTGATTTAGACATCTGACAGCTTTTAAGACCCCTCCTTTCACCGATCAATATTTTTTTACGCCGATGAGTCGTAAAATACGTTCATCTGAGTATCAAAGACGGTGTCGGATATTGTCATTTTGAACGACTGCGTAATAAATCCAGGATAAGTCCGCTCTCTCTAGACGCCCCGGTGAATGTGCGCATATCTCACACCGCTTGGCAGGCGATGTATAAGACTGCAGTGTTAGAAGCGCCTACCGGACATCAATAAGCGTTACGCAGCACATACGCGCTTTTGAACACTGGGGGTAATCTCTGCATTATCGCTGTGGGACTTTAACGAAGGGTAGCGTGGCATGGACCTCGTGGTAACCTCAGCACTAAGGTTAATCAAAGGTCTATGCTACAATATGGCGGTTAATATTGCGCCCTAGAACTGAAGAATTATTTTTGGTGACCGTCACACGAGGTCGCTGGAGTAAATGTCTGTTCCAGATCATGTTGCAGTCCGACATTTGTTCTAAGATCATTTATATAAGCCCTGACGCTGAGTACCAGATCATGCGATATCAGACGCTTGTTTGAGATCATGAAGAGTTCATGCCATAATGAAACTGGTTCCAGTTCATGACAGGCCCGGCACTGGTACCAGTTCATGTAATGTCAGACACTTTTTCGAGTTCATGCCATACCTAGACGCTGGTTCCCGGAATCTTGTGTAGTCCGACATTTATTATAGGCCACGCAAAGTTTGACACTGGTTCCAGTTCATGCCATATTAGACACTGGTTCTGGAAATCATCGAAAATTCCGACATAGGGACCAGTTCATGCCATAATATATACTGGTTCCCGAATCATGCCGAAATCAGAAACTGGTTCGGAGATCCTTGAGAAAAGTTTGAAGGCTTACTGGGCACCAGTTCAGGCTGACATCAGAAACTTGTTCGAGACCATGAAGTCAACTTACCGGTACCAGTTCGTGCGAATATCAAGACACTGGTACCAGTTCGTAATGTAAATAATTCTCATTAGTATGAAATCTTGGCATATGCTCTCGCAAAAGAAAATCCATTAACGGTGCCCTTCCCTTCAAACAGACATCGGTATATGCTTACCACATTCTCCATGTCAGGTTCAGCAGCTATATTGCTGCATGGTGGGGAAAAAACTGCGGCCTGCCCCTCCTTGACGCCCCAGGACATCATGCGTGAGGGTGGGATGGGAACTGCGCGGTCTCGCGGAATATTAGGTGGGTTCTCGGCCTCTCAGAGTCTCTCTTTTCTCTCCTCAGGCGCATTCAACTCGCTCAAAATGAAACTCTTCAACTCATCCCTCCCACTTATCTCGGTCGTCGGAACTGCAGACACAAAACAGGCACGATTTATTTTCATTTTTTGACGGCAGACTCAGCAATATACCAGCATATGATGGTGGGCTGTACATAATCGATTCTGACAAACCAGAGTTTGATATTGCCATGAGCAACGATCACGCCATTGGGGTACACAAGACACGAGTAGTGACGTGGCAATGTTTAAGCAGCTTGGCTTATGGATATTCCAGCAATTTTACGCGAGAACACCAGAAATGAGCTTCACACATTTTAACCATGGCAGGAAATCAGACCCAGGACTTCGCTATAAAGAGGACACTGAAATGAACTACTAGTATGCCCAAGCCCGACAAGCCGATTCATTAAGACACTTTTACGACCAACACAAGTTGTTGGGGACATTCCTATGGTATGTAGTAGCAATGTACACATATCAGAGCTTTGGAAGACATGTTAACTTTACTCGGTGACATCATATTTATATCTGAAATTGTTGTAGATAAATTTGCTTTCCCATACGTCTTTTGCCGTAATTTCTGAAAAACGTCAGGCGTTAGCCTCTTATGGAAATTATCGACCATTTACCATTACCATGGATATTGGAGAGGACTGAGAATAAGAGGGTACCAGTGGGATGAAATGATGATGTAACTGCAAAACACTTTTGGCGCCTGATAAGGGCAGAACTGGCTGTACACTGCCTCAGAGCCATATTATTAATTATTAAAGCGTGATATATATATGATTCAATTATATTGACAAAACTGAACTAATGTTTGGGTTCGACTATCAAGCGGTGATGTGGTTCCATTTTGTAGGTGGTGGGGATTCTTTAGAAGACACCTCGGACTCGAATATCAGTATGTTTGTGGTATACACCTGCGATCAGTTGCATGTATCTGCACGCACTATGTGATCCTTTTCACAGGTGTAAAACAGACGCTCAGGTGTCAAACACAGGTATACAATACAGGTACACCACTACCTCCAATTACCAGCTTGGTGTTTACCTTACAAACTTCTATCTAAAGGTGTCTCGGGTTCGATTCCCCTCGTGTTCAAAATGTGGAGAGTGTATCCTGATAAAAGTGGCGTAAAACTTACATGTGATTTTATTCTGGCTTATTGGTTTAGATATAGTAAATGCTAGATACACTAGTAAATGGTAGATACACTAGCTAAAGCGTGGACCCCGCCGTGATATTGGCTGGAATATTGCGAAAGCGGCGTAAAACTAAACTCAATCACTCACTCACAAACTTGAAAACAGGACTTTGCCAACAAATTAAAAAAACGTTACCAGGCTAGAAACACTGCAAACTTGGGATCAACTGTGACACCCTTATTAAATACATTTCTCTGTCATTTTCTGCCACCCTCACATAAAAGTATATTCTGTATATTGCTTTGCAGTATGTATCTAATATTTCATACCATTTTTAGTATGAAGATTATGGTTTTGTCAATTATTGTTTGAAAGAATGTTTACTTATAAAGCCTTATGTAAGCGATTTCCATTGTTTGTACAGTGCAACATTAGCCGAATGAGGTATGGTGTTAGGCTGTTTGGGGTAAAATCCAATAACATCACGGCGTGTTTCACAGACAGAGAGGAGAGAGAGAGAGAAAATAGTTTATTAATGTGTCACGCATATAACTCAGCATTTTGTTACAATATAAAGCCCAGTAAAAGAGTAAATGCCCAGCCAAATTGGCTTATGAGACACATAGACCAGTTTTTAAAACATAGTAGTACCATAAAATATATATATAAGATATAGAACTTAAAATGCATGTTATAAAACCTTTAAGAAAGGATTAAATCATACATTAAGCGTCCGTATTGTACCTACGTCGGGAATCAAACCCAAAGCCTTGACTTGCTAACGCTTTAACCATTAGGTAACCCATTCGCCCATCAATATCTCAGGTGTCTGAGGCGCCGCAATTAGCTTGGCAGAGTGGCTTCCCTGGGCAAGCTAACGCGCCATGTGTGGGGTCAGAGGCTCGGTTAATCCCTGATTATGTTTGTCAGCTTCACGCCCGTGCTCAGGGTTTGACCAAAGTCGTAACTGTTCAAAGCGGTGATCAAAAAACAAAAATCACTCACTAACAAAGTACGAATGACCGAGTTACGAATCATAGTTCGTTTCTAACATGACATTTAAGGGACCGTTCATAATTTATGGCTAGGGGTGGGTGGGGTGATGATGATTTTAAGGGGGTATTAGGGTCAGCAATTTTGTACATAGTGATATTAAAAAAATATGCTTAACAATTATTGGAAGGGAAGGGGAGGGGGTCATTGATTTTGTACATGACATGCAGGGCGGGGTCACTTATTTTGTACATAAATGTTAGGGGGTTTCATTCACTTTGTACATGCTTCTCCATAAAAATCATCATCACCCCCCCTAGCCATGAATTATGAACGGTACCTAAGCATCATGTTGGAGAAAATCCCAATATGAGGTACGCCATGGACATTTATCACTACATGTATATACCCACGACGCTGAAAATACATCGAACCTTTGTTATTAGAGGTAATACGGTAGCAATTACATAGTTTATCCCTATCAAACCAGCGTTACCAGACCATAGCCTAGACCTGTGTATACACTCAGACACATGATGATCCGTGGTACAAAGGTTTCGTTGACCCATGCTGGCCCGGCTGTTTACGTAGAGGGAAAACCTACTTGAGCTGGTATCGATGACACTGTGGGGCTGACTTGTAAGGGAACAGTATAGGCCATGTATACAGGTTCATTCGAGTTTTTCATGATTTGAAGGCTATAATATAGAACGACTCTAATGTTTCCTTATTGAAGTACATAGGGATATGTTGTATGGGAAACAGTAACTGAAATTGATATGTTTCGTGTTTCCTAAGTTGTATTATGGTTTCTCCTTGATATGAATTATCGATGTTATAATATGATTTACGGAGCAGAACACAAACATGAGAGCTGGATCCTGCTTTTAAAACAGTCTGAGTTTGGAAGGGAGTGGGTGGGCACTGCTTTCGGTTACAATGGAATCTAGTGTTGGGAATTGGTTGAAATCTCACAATTGATGATTGCTTTTTTACCAACGAGAAATCATCGAAAGAAATTGGTGATCGTCATTTCTCAGATTTTTCTATTCAGGTTGTTATTGCAGATATGTATAACATGATGCAACTTGCTACTTTAAAGTGATGACTAATATATCATGAACATAAACTACTCAGAGTCTTCAACTATTATTAAGTCATGACTTTTCAGTTATTGAAGTGAGTTTTCTAAGAACTAAACACATTTTCAGGCCCTGACAACTTCGAATATATGTTCCATCGACAAGAGTTTCAAAGACTAAAACAGTAGATCCAAAATCGTTTGTGTTCGATTATGAGAAAATGTGATCGATTGCTTGGTCGTTTGGTCACTGCGACCAATCTTCGATTATTTCAATTAATCGGAACACCACTAATGGAATCCCCTTTCATCCGCCATTGAGAATGGGCTTGATCAGTGAGTGAGTATGGTTTTACGCCGCTTTTAGCAATATTCCAGCAATATCACCGAGGGAAACACCAGAAATGGGCTTCACACATTGTACTCATGGGGTAATCGAATCTCGGCCTTCGGACTGACGAGCGAACGTTTCAACCACTAGGCTACCCCACCTTCCCTGGACTTGTAGACCGATATGTGGAATCGAACACACGGTTTTGGACTGACTAGCGAACGCTTACACGCTCCAAAGACGCCACCACAAGTACATACAGTCAAACATCGCTCTGTTGAAGATGAAGTGACCAACGTAAATACTTCGAGTTATCCAAGGTTCGACACACACTAAATCAGTGAGTGAGCTAAGTCTTACGCCGCACTCAGCAATATTCAAGCGGCGACCTGTAAATAATCGAGTCTGGACCAGATAATCCAGTCATCAACAGCATGAGCATCGCAATCTACGCAATACGATGACGTGTCAACCAAGTCTGCGAGACTGTCAACCCGATCCCGTTTGTCGCCTCTTACGACATGGGTTACTGAAGACCAGTTCTAAGCCGAATCTTCACGGGTCACTAAATTAGGGACACAGGAGCCAAGTTATCACATCGAAACAACCCTAAGTTCGACTCAACAGTGTTTGACTGGAGTTCAGATTCTAATTTAGGACCTTGCAGGGTTCTCTACATTCTCTACAGCATCCAAATTGCCTTGGCATCGCATTTAGACACGGTTGAAGGCCAGGTCGCGATAAGCGACGTCACGCACGGTGAAATATTTTAAAATTTTAAAATATTTGTAATTACTCAATCAGTAAATGCTTTGATGCTTCATTCAATATCTAGTTAATCAGAAAACGTTTCCGATGTCAATATATAGATTTCATAACAAAGGATCACATTTACGTAAGTTGTAAATCGATTATTGCAACTTGAAAAAAGCAATGTAACCGCGTCGCTAGATGCCGTATTTCCTCACTTAGAGGTCCTGACATCTATTCATTTTGCGCAAGCCTTACACACGATAACTGTCAAAGGCACGGCCTCTGTTTTGGCCCACTGGATACCTACTACCGTAAAGATACCCATTGGCATTAAACACCAGAATGTAACTGAATAAATGCAACATGAGCACTACGGTAATCACAAACTGAGATAACTGCATCAAGTATACACGAGAATAATTATTTAATTATATAATTATGAATGATTATACACACTAAAACAAGCGAATATATGCACGAAGAGCGAACATATGTACAGCCCAATCCGCCAGCTATCTCTTGCACGCTTCTTGAGGACGCTTTTTGGGTATGAATAATTCAGGGATAGTCTTCAGCCTATTCACGGATCTGTCAAATAATTTGTAGTCATTTTCTTTTCTTATTGATTTTCTTCAACGCAATTGTTAGAATTAAATTGTGTTTTGTGAAGATCTTGCATGTCAACAGTCGAGTAGTTTGCAAACATCAAAGGAAAAGCGTTTATCAATGCGATGTAGTATTCAACAAAGTATTTTTATTCGGCGCACATGTATATTTAATGAAAAGGCGAAGCGAAATAACAGAGACTGTATGGTCTTATGGTTTGGTGCAGTCTAAACCAATTACGCCTCAATGGGAATTTTTGTTCATTGAAACCCCGTTACAGCGCGAACATACTTAACGTCCTCATCAAAATGCAATCCAACACTGTTGTGACGAAGTTAAAGGGTACAACGTCAATGCTTCGAGTTATCCGAGTTTATCACAACCGCAAAATGATGTCGAAGGAATACGCAAGGACCAAGTTTTTACTTCGAGACAAGCGTACGTTCGACACAACAGTGATGTAGCCAGGCAGATTGCTTATCAGGGTAAGACTACAGAATACCGGATACCTTCCGCCATCTTTGAAAGCATGCGAGTTTACTTAGGGTTAGGGTAAGGTGTAGGGTTAGGGTTAGGTTTAGGGTTAGGGTAAGATTTAGGGTTAGGGTTAGGGATAGGGTGACGTGACACTAAACAATATGGCTGGTAGGTATCCGGTATTCTGTAGGTGTACCTTTATCAGCTTAATGTTGATTTAATAATATAGGCACGTTTAACGGAAAACTCAAGAGTCCATTCTCATTTGCTAACAGCACATCGTCGTTAAATAAGGAATAAATATCTATCCACTTCATGTATAAACAAACCGTTTCTTCTTTTTCTTTCCAAAAACACCCCGCATATTGTTAATGTGTCACGAGTTGCAGATCGGTGCGAAAAGGTCAACCTTTATAAGCTAAAAAATGTAAAAAAAACACAATAAAAAATAAAGAATATCCCCAACTCACTGTGGACCAAGAGTCATAAAAACACATCTTAGAAAATGTAAAGAAGTCTTTCGGCGTAAGAATATCGAATATATATGGAATCCGAGAAGGGACATTGTCGCATTGTCGCGCTTTGGTTAATTTTGCCTCCTTTTGCTTGTATTTGAGAGGGCGACAACGCGACAATGTCCCTTCCAGGATTAGATAGATATATGAACGCGAGGGTTTATGAAAAGCGTCACTACTCACATGAAACTGGTTAACCGACGACAGCTTTCGAAAGGAGCATTCACGGTTGATGAGTGTTTATCGCCTCCTACTATGTGTTAACTCGATTATATACCCGCCTTGTTGTACTCTCTGTCTATACACCAGCACTCCATAAAATACAACCTCTCCGTCACCCGACGCTTATCATGTTGCTCGGTATTATGCCCAGATTGTCAGCGTATATGGCCTCTCTGTACACCTGCCCCCGACCATTCACCGACGTGTCAGCGAGGCAGGGAGAATAGCCAACACATCGCATACATTAGGGATTCACTGCAAGCAAATACACCAGTCAGCCATTAATAACACGAAGGTCGAAACACGACAGCCGCGTTTGAACAGGGTCGACATGTCGCTCCGCTGATTAAACCTGTATACCATGGTTCCAATAGAGTACTTCCAAGTAGTTTATGGGGGGCTTTCACAATCAATATATTTTATCTGCGTGAAGAGGAACTATTCATAAATAGTGAACTGTCTTTGTGTCTGAGAGTGTGTTGCAAGCAGTGACGGCAAGACGTTAACGCTGTGTACCGTTAACACGTCAATGATCAATAAAGCCGGGTCTTGGTTATGGTTGATTGTAAAACAAAATCTAACCTGTGCTTAGTGAGTTGAAGGTCACTGACTATATTCTGGAGCTATATTTCCTGTCGTATATCAATTGGTGTTACTGACAGCCCTTATTAGCGTTCGGGTAATTTGTCTTCGGTCAACGTTGTACCGTTAAAACGTCAATGATCAGTGAAGACGGGGATTGGTTATGGTTGATTGTAAAACAATATCCAAACTGTGCTTGAATTGAAGGTCACTTACTATATTCTGGAACTATATTTCCAGTCGTATATCAATTTGTGTTACTGACAATCTTCATTGGCGCTTGGGCAATGTGTCTTCGGCCAAGGCCGTAGCGTTAACATGTCAGTGCTCAGCAAAGACGGGGATCGGTTACGGTTGTGCGTTGTGGCGATGCCTTTTTAATTCTTGTAAGAAATCTCATCAAAATCAACATTTTCAGGTAAAGTCGATTTTTAAGTTGTGCAATAGTGTAAAATCATGTTATCATCACTTTTGTTACATATTTTAACGATTGTTTGAACACAACTGGTAAATAATAGATTTTTAAAAATACAAAACGCCTATGCGTTTCTTTTTTTGGATAGTATATGTTGAAATGTTTACAATTATTAACAAACCCATCTAAAGATATTATTGCAAAATTATGGAAATACATTAATTTATGCATGTAAGTAAAAATCCATTGTCCAGCTTCCTTTTGTATATGTGTAATTTGTGTTTATTTCAATGGATAAATACAGCATTCTACCCTGTATACAGTGTAAAATGATGACGAGGGGCATATAAGCCCAAGTCTTTACTGAAGAAAGAATCTGAATCTGACTTATCCAAGTTCGGTCTTAAGGACTAACGTAGTGCATTTAATCAGATTCAATTTAAACTCACAAACATTACATATATACGGTTGACTACCCACACCTCTACAATGAATACAGGTGTATAACAGTCAACATTGTCCCCATAAAAGTCTATATAAGCAATGTCTCCTTTGTGAGATAGCAAAATTAGCATAATTTGAAATATATACGTTGGCATATTACATCCATAAAAATATTTATCCACAATATTTTTCACAGAGTGTCTCATATTAGCCACAAAACATAACTACAAGTCCTGATTCTTGATTTGACAAAGTGAGTTGTCTCCCCTTCCATAGTTGTCCTAACCAGCTTCAGTTTCATGTCTACACTGCTCTATAATGATGTTCTACAGGTCACAATATGTCATATTTTAGTCTGTAGTTTGGTTTGTTAAGCCGGAAATCCATTTTGAGAGTTACGTCCCCTGGTTCGATAATATTAACCTTAACCTTGCAGCACCATTACCGTGCAATGGTATCGACCAACACAATCTCTTATAACGTTAAGCTGACACGCCATATTTGACTGAAAAACTGTTCAACGCGAAGTAAAAACGGAACTCAATGGTTATTTCTACCCGACCATTCACTGTCCGCTGAACAACATTCCTAGTGCAAGAAGGACGATGAATTAGCCCCGGAGGAATTATCTTATATATCGATTAGGCTTTCCGCTGCCAGACTTAAGGATGCTGACCTTAGTTGTTTTACAACAGACTGGATTAAATATTGAGTGACCTTAATCCCCTAAACGCTGGCATTTATTGAGGTAATGCCGCACACGTTGCGTTTGGAAGAACTAATGTTTGAAATGTAGATCGATTCCACATTGGGATATGTGTATCCGAGACATACATCTGTGCTTCATGAGAATGTTGGTTCATCGATCAATGTTGATTACTCAACACAGCGCGTCTGTCTGGTGTATGACAAGTGAAATACTTATAATCTGCGCCTTGGATCGATATGTCGTCAATAACTGTATCAATCAACGGGCTGAATCCACTGATGTAAGATTCATTCAGTGAGTGAGTGAGTGAATTTTACGCCGCTTTTGACAACATTCCAGCAGTATCACGACGGGAAGAAACCAGAATTGGGCTTCACACATTGTACCCAGCTGGGGAATCCAGCCCAGGTCTTCGGCGTGAGGGGCGAACGCGTAACCACTGGGCTACCCAACCACCCCAAGAATCATACAGAGAAAATGTGGTCATATTTGGGTCACTGTTTACGACCATCGTTAGAATGGACATGGATTATGACATAAAAACACATCTCAACCACCTGCGCAACGCTGCAAGTTAAGAAGCCCATTTGTCCCCGTAAAACGTTTTGAAAATTTTCCACCAAGTGATCTAAGTGCTACTGGGGATCGTAAGTTGGTTGGTTGATTGGTTGGTTGTTTAACGCCGCAATATTCCAGCTACAATGTATATGACGGCGATCTGTAAATATTCGAGTCTGGACCAGACAATCCAGTGGTCAACATCATGAGCATCGATCTATGCAGTTGGGATACGATGATATGTCTCAACCACCAGATCCCGTAAGTCGCCTCTCTCGAAAGGTATGGGTTGTAAAAGAATGCATGTAATGTGTGTATGCATTTTTCTTTGTTGTTCAGGATTCAAGACATATAATCGAATTTGAACCAAACGACCCAGTGATTGATGTTATTAACAACATTGGACACCATGACGCGCACCCTCCACCAAACCACCCACCCACCCCCACCCTGGATCCCCTAAATACCGTATACTTTCTTTTGCCTTGAATATATATATACTTTGACCTGAGCACAGTGACAGTTTAAAGCACATGAAAAGGAAAACAAAATATAGCAATTCACAAGGATTTATAACACCGCAGATCTACATTTTGAAGATATTGAGAGTTACCTACCCATTCCAACCTTGGGAATGGCCTTCTCCCTGAAGGGAAGCTGTTTAGTCCGGTGAAGTACTGCAGCCCGGTAATTGTATTGATCGGGTACAGCTGCGAATTGACGTTGATAGCGTTGACGGGAATCCGGCCACGAACGCTGTTTGATAGCTTATTTATGTTGTAGCTATTCGGAGGAAACTGGAGGCTGTAGCGGGGTGAAGCGAAGTAGCCATCGTCGTTGACGGAGCAGATTGGGATGTCAAGGAGACCTGTAATAGAAAGGTCAGTGTTTAGAATATAGTCCCGAAGCTGCAGGGAAACAAAAGATGACGATTTACGATATCCTGTTGATATAATATAGGACAGGGCGTAAGGGCCCTTGATGGCTCACAGGATATGCATAATTTAAGAATTCGGCAAAACTGTTTGAAATTGTCATGAAGTTTATCAGACATGTTCTAATGAATGAGAACTAGACTTGGTTCATTTAACAGTTGCTCGCTTGGACTGACTGACTGACTGAGTTTGGTTTTACGCCGCTTTTAGCAATATTCCAGCAACATCACGGCAGGGGACACCAGAAATGGGCTTCACACATTGTACCCATGTGGGGATTCGAACCCGGGTCTTCGGCGTGACGAGCCAACGCTTTAACCACTAGGCTACCCTACCGCCCCTGCTCGCTTGGAACTCATAAGAATACTAAATGCACAGGTAAAGATACAATATGTCAAAAAGGCCGATTGCAAAGGTTTTCTGGAAGCGTATTTCCATGAAGTGAACATAAACAAGTTGTTGATCCCTGCTGATCTTCATGAACATATAGTAACATATACTTCAAACAGCGTAAGCATGTGGCAAATGTGTGACGTGACGATACCTTTGAGGTGTCTGACTCGGTTGGGATGAGGATTGTGTCGGGTGAAGAACGAATTGTGACTCATCTGGCCGAACCGGTATCCACTGTGGGTCGCTGGTCGCGGGAGCGACGTCTTCCGGTATGCATTGGCGGACACCGGAACTCCGTTAGCTACCGGATCTCGGACATACAGGTCCCCATTATCTGGGCGGAACACATCGGACTGACTCATGCTGGAGAGAAAGAGAAGAGATTAAGTATCTAATAGCACGAAGTTGACACTCGGTATTTACAGTCGACAGGAATAGCAAGGTTAACAATACACGAAAATTAATAAAACTGGGCAATTAATTTTGTTTTAGATCACGATTGGTGATAAAGAAACACTAAATCCCTGAAAGACACATTTTTTTCAAATCAGGTTAAATTCTGGCTGATTTATTATACACTCGTATCCGATGAATACTCTTGTCGTAAAAGATCACTAACGGGATCGGGTGGTCAGGGGTCGCTGACTTGGTTGACACATATAGCGTAGATCTCGATTGCGTAGATCGATGCTCATGTTGTTAATCACTGGAATGGCTGGTCCAGACTTGAATATTTACAGACAGCCGCCATATAGCTGGAATATTGCTGAGTGCGGCGTTAAACATCAACCTAGGTGGGCTGAACCACTGACACAGTCCTTTGAGAGCCGCACTGGATACGACCAAAATCTCTTTATTTGTTTCCACTATGCCAAAGTTCGTAAAACAGAAACGCCGTTATGTATACTGGTTAACACCTGCCACAACGTGTTATGGCAACGGATGAATGTTGATCCCCCCACTTCCTTAAAACAATACGGGTAGATATATTACCACTTGACTAGAAAGCAACACCGATCCCCTGTAAGCCACCTTCTCCAACGCAGAGATACAGTACTATCTCTATTTCTGAGGGGGTCATTCGATAACTCCGCTAACTTTAGACCTCATCTTTTAACATTCGACATCGCGGTCACAAGTATTTGTAAACTTTACGTGGAGTCTGTGTACGTATTTATCCGCTGTGTAAATAGTGTGTTGTATAGGGTTGGTACTTATCAAATCTGCAATCTCTTGTACAAATACAGGGGTAGAGGTGGCAGGTATAACGTGATAGGAACAGGGCTACCTCTTGAGAGATCTGGTTTATAAATGGACGGGGATCAATCCAGTTCTGTCTTCCAGCACCAACAAACAGCTGAACAGAGTTAATCCATGTTCATCTATTACCGACACTCTGTCATCAGCTACTTATTGTTGGGACTTTGAATTCAAAAGAGTTATGCAGACATTTCGATTTAGTTGTGATACGTATAACTATGGAATCCTTGAAGGGAAATTATCGCGTTGTCGACCTTACGAAGACAAACAATATGTGTCAAAACTGACCAAATCGCGACAACGCGACATTACCATTTGTTGCTTTGTTGATTTGTCTCTTCGGTCAGTCTCAACGTCAATTTTTGACACTTTCTTTGCTTTTGTAATTGCGACAACGTCATGATGTCTCTTCTAGGATTCCATATACAACAGAAATATTCTGAGCAGTGTTCTGATAGAATCGGGACATCACTTCCGAAATGAAACCTTAGTGGAGAGGGGTCAAGGGTATGTATCACAGTGACAAACTTGGATTTATCAATATTCCACTAATATGATAGTGGGGCCCCAAGAAAGTGTCTTGAAATTATACCAATAAGGGTTTGAACCCGAGACGTGCGAATGCTTTAGCCACTAGGCTGACACACCACTCTCGTATTTATCATGGACGGATGGAGAATGTCATGACTGGTATACAACAATCAATACAACATGTAAAGGCTATGTTTTTTGCCCTGAGACTGTAATGAATAAAACATGAACTGTTAACGCACTTGAGATCCATTTCATTTTGAAATCGGAAGCTAGTTCTCCTTAACCACGGTGTTTTGATGTCAAACATTAACCAGTACTGGAATATTTACAAAGGATAACTCTGTAGTACCATGATATTGTTGAGTCATCGTGGATTGTCATGTATTGATCCTGTGGAGTGAAGGTTATAAGTAGCAAACAGCTGGGTTAGACTGGATGATTGAAGTACTGGCGGTGAGCTGGCTGGATATGCGTAAAGGTTGCGTACATCGTGCAAATTCAACGGTCAATATTTAATATTGAACACATAATGAGCATAGAACCGCACTTATAAATAGAGTTTGATGGATATATTTACAGTACACTTACGCTTGCTATTAATTTTCTATATGCGATTAAATAAACAAGATACCCAGTTCCTTTCCTGACTTTGATTTTGCCACTTCACCACCACACCAAATTTCAACGCTTTAGAAATAACAGCAAGCAATACTCACGAAATCTAGTTTTATCTTCAACAAAGTGTGTGATATTATCCCGACGTAAAGTACAAATATTTTCTCACTCGTCAATATGTTACCCTGTATGGAAACACCCACACCATAATTACTTAGGGAATTAAAGGTGTTGTTTACACCGACTCTGTGTATATACAACAAACCATGTTTCGGGCCTTCAGCCATGTACACAGTTGTTTACGTCCCTAATATGTGATTTATTAACAATAACCATGAGACATATGATTCACGCCGTGCATTCATTAGTATTTAAGCGAGTCGATAAATCTGACATACATTAATAGCCAATCGTAGATATTGACCAATCCACTCGAATTTGACAGCTAGGACTGTCTACTCTGACGTCCGCGAGAAATGAAGTGATTTGATTGGTTGAATGGTTTTGAGTCCTCCAGATAGTGTGATAACTGAGTATGTGTTTTTATATTATGATAAGCCGTGACAAGCTCTGTTACGGGAACGTGACCGGTGTCGGACCCGCTTCAATTTTAGATAGGCTATCAGGTGCTCTTAAATATGCTCCATAAATCACTATAATTACAATAACTGTCGAGTTTAGAAGTGGCTTTGTTCTAAACATATTAGCACTTTATCCAAATCAACTTCAGGGAAATTCCGAAAAGATAATTTAAAGCAAAGAGTTGTTGAATGTAATTTGTATTTAATCCATATGGTCAGGGACCTAAGTTACGGTGGTATGTTTCTGACTAGGAGTAAAAGTGTCGTAATTATAACTATTGGCTCTTTATCCCCGAAAACTTCAGATGAAATTTCGAGAACATATTTTAAAACAAATGTTGCCGGAAAATAGCAATATGTGCTTTTAATAGATGGGAACCTCTACGTTTATGATTATGACTACAAAGAGACCTTGTTAATCCGAAAACCTGCTGTCCGGGCGGTTCTCTCGAGAAACGACTACTTACACAGAAACGGTGTTATTCCTTGCTGCCTATTCGTTTTGTCCAGAAACATATTAATCCGGTAAGTGGTACGTAATCCGATGGATTTCGCTAAGTATATTAAAATACTGAATTGCGTTTTGCTCTAACAGTCTTATAATTATATATTTCTTCACACGAAGTGAGGCGCTAGTAGGATCATTTGCAAGGTTGGTTGTTTGTGCGTATGTTCAAGGCGGACATAAAGCTGTAACTATACCCCTGTATCATGTGAGGATTAGATTCTACGACCAGGTGCTCGTTCCACAAAACGATCGTAGCGCTGAGGTTACCGTAACTCCCATACTTAAACATAGGCTAATGGTAATCGTACCACTACGATCGCCTTGCAGAACCCGGCCCAGCTAGGGGTATATGCAGGGTTGATTCTGATTGTCATCCTTTTGTCAATGAGAGAAGTTTGTATAGATACTGGTTCCATTTCAAGTAACTGGCTGTTAAAGAGCATGGTTATACACGCCATGCCGACCCGTGAAGATACGGGTCTGAATTGATCGTCTGAAACCTATGCTTGTAGTAAGAGGCAACTAACTGGATCCGGTAGATCTGTGTAGATCGAAGCTCATGATGTCAGTCACTGGTCTGGTCCAGAATCGGGTATTTACATGCACCGCCGTCATATATGTGGAATATTGGCGGTCTGTAAATAATCGAGTCCCAAGGGCCACACAATCCAGTGATCAACAGCATGAGCATCGATCTGGTGCAAATGGGAAGATACGTGTCAACCAAGTCAACCGAAGTGTGAGCAATACTTGTAATTAGTTATATTAACCTCAAGAAATATTCAACCACACTTTGAACCACATTGTGGGTCATTATGACATGCACAAGTGGGAACTTTGTTTCGCAACAGAAGCAGTATTTGATATGCTACCCTTTTCACAAAACATATGCAAAGCTTTTAAATCCAATATACCTGTGGACATCTATTTAATGACACTGGCCTAAACACTACATGTCTTTAAATCCAATATACCAGTGCACATCTATTTAACGACACTGGCCTATACACTACATGTCTTTAAATCCAGTATACCTGTGGATATCTCCCATTTAACGACACCAGCGTATACACACTACTAGCATGTCTTTAAATCCAATATGCCTGTGGACATCTATTTAACGACACCAGCCTACACACTACATGTCGTTAAATCCAATATACCTGCAGACATCTCTTTAACGACACTGGCCTACACACTACGTGTCTTTAAATCCAGTATACCAGTGGGATTATGTATTTAACGACACTGGCCTACACACTACATGTCTTTAAATCCAATATACATGTGCACATCCATTTAACGACATACAGCCTACACACTACATGTCTTTAAATCCAATATATACCTGTGGACATCTATTTAACGACACTTTGGCCTATACACTACATGTCTTTTAAATCCAGTATACCAGTGGATATCTATTTAACGACACCAGCCTACACACACTACATGTCTTTAAATCCAATATACCTGTGGACATCTATTTAACGACACCAGCCTACACACTACATGTCTTTAAATCCAATATACCTGTGGACATCTATTTAACGACACCGGCCTACACGTCTTTAAATCCAATATACCAGTGGACATATATTTAACGACACTGGCCTACACACTACATGTCTTTAAATCCAATATACCAGTGGACATGTATTTAACGACACTCGCCTACACACTACATGTCGTTAAATCCAATATACATGTGGACATCTATTTAACGACACTGGCCTATACACTACATGTCTTTTAATCCAATATTCCAGACTGACTCCCATACTTGAATGTACTCTACTGTTGCAGGGCTATATGAGGGTCGATCAAAAAGTAAGTAGACTAACTGTATTCTCGATGTCCAATC